GAGCTGGGCAAGGTGGCCTTAATTAAGCTCTTTATCAGAACAAGGTCCGAGCCAGGCTTGTCTTGCCCCTAGGCCTTGGCCCACTTGCCATGTCAAGCTGGGGACAGCGGCTTCAGGAAGCCTGCCTGGCTGCCAGCCCTCCCGCCATGCCCGCCTACCCTGATGTTGAGGCTGGCTACCACCACCTCTCCGGTGGGAGTGATGATGGGGATGTTCTCGCAGATAATGCCCTGCTCCACGTCCACCACCTGGCCTGGAGTAAGGACACCAAGAGGGGCTTTGTGGGCCCCTGAGCCACTCTGCAGCCCCCGGCTCCCACCAGACTACTTGTGCTCAGACATAGCCTGGGCTCTCTGGGCTGGCACTATGCAGCTGTGTGGCTCCCTGCAGCAACCTCATTCCCTTGTCTGGCAAAGAGAAATGCAGCCCAGGGCACCTGAGGACAGCCAACGCCCTACCTCTGTCCCAAACCCTCCCTGCAGTCCCACTCCCTGTAGGGGAGGCCTCGGTGAGCTGCCAGCCAGCCCGCCCCTCCTGAGTGTGAGCCCTTACCTAGGATCTTCAGGGGTCCCTCCACACGAACACCGGGCCGCATCACAGCTCCAGGCCGCACGGAGGAATCCTCCAGCTCCCCAGGCCTCTTGAAACGACAGTGCTGGACGTCATCAAAGACCTGGAACATCTCATGGACCCGGGCTGTGTAGCCAGCCAGCTCTGTCACCTGTGAGGAGGCCACCGGGTTCATCCCAGCCCATGAAAAGGAGAGGGGCATGGCAGGCGAGCAGAGCCAGGGCTACCTCCTTGTAGGATGACATGATGCGCTCGATAGCGTCAGCAGCAGCGGTGAGGAGATTGCGGGCAATGGTGAAGGCTTCGGTGCGCTCACTCACCAGCTCCTCCTCTCTATTCTCCATGGCCGCCTTCTTTACTGCCTCTGCTTCTGTTGAGGTCAAAAAAGGGGTGGTGACAACGGAAAGTCCAAAGAGAGCCACTATGGGGAAGGAACAGTCTTTCTAACATGGTGCTGTGATAAATGGATGGACCCCTACCTCACGCCTTACACAGAAATGAACACAAAATGGACCATAAGCCTTAATGTAAGCACACCACGACTGTACAAGTCTTAGAAGAAAACGCAGGTGTAAATTTTTATGACTCTGTCTGCACCTAATTCACAACAAAAAATTCATCTAAGACAAAAGGGCGGGGGCGGACAACAGAACAACAGAAAAGTGGGTGAAGGGAGACATCAGACAGTGTAAGATATGACAAAATAACTACTTATAAATTATCAAGGGTTCATGAGGGAGGGGGGGGAGGGAGGGTGGAAAAATGAGGAGCTGATGCCAGGGGCTTAAGTGGAGAGCAAATGTTCTGAGAATGATGAGGGCAATGAATGTACAAATGTGCTTTACACAATTGATGTATGTATGGATTGTGATAAGAGTTGTATGAGCCCCTAATAAAATGATTTTTTTTAAAAAGAAAAGACATTTGGAGAAGGATAATGGTTGCACACACGAAGAGTATAATCAATGGCACTGAGTTATACCTGTAGAAGTTGTTGAATTGGAGAATGTTTTGTTCTGCATATTTTTGCCACAGTTAAAAAAATTACATGACCCCTCAGGACCAATATTGAGAGTAGCCGTACCAGGAGAGTAAGGGGAAGGTGGGAGGAAGATAGGGGGAACCGATCACAAGGATCTACATATAACCCCCTCCCTGGGGGAGGGACAACAGGAAAGTGGGTAAAGGGAGACATCGGTCAGTGCAAGACATGAAAAAAAATTATCAAGAGTTCATGAGGGAGGGAGCGTGGGGAGGGAGGGGGAAATGAGAAGCTGAGGCCAAGAGCTTAAGTGGAGAGCAAATGTTTTGAGAATGATGAGAGCAATGAATGTACAAATGTGCTTTACACAATTGATGTGTGTATGGATTGTGATAAGAGTTGTATGAGCCCCCAATAAAATGATTTTTTAAATAAAATAACTTTTTAAAAATTACACGAATAACAATGAGTACAAGGAAGAATAAAATGTTCTAGAATGACTGTCGTGATGACTGTACAATTCTTCTTGATATGACTGAATTATTGAATTGTATGGCGTGTGGATGAAGTAACAAAACGGTTTTTAAAAAAGATAAAAGATTGAAACGAAAAGAAACAAAACCAAAAAAACCAACTTTATGCCCTTGGATTTGACAATGGCTTCTTTCATTGGACACCAAATTTACAAGCAAGATAAACTAGACTTCATAAAAATTGGAAATGTTTGTTTCAAAGGACACTATCTAATGTAAAAAGATAGTCCACAGAACTGGGAGACAATGTTTGCCACTCAGACATCTGAAATATAAGAAGTGTTGCAACTCAATAATAGAATGACAAGCCATTTAAAACATACGTAGAGGAACTGAAATGTGTCTCTCCAAAGAAGATTTACAAATGGCAAGTAAGCACATGAAAATATGATCGCATCAACCATCAGTCATTAAAGAAAATGCAAATCCAAACCACTGTGAGATGCCACTTCCCAACCACTAGGATGGCTATTAAATTCAAAACCAAACAAAACAGATAATAAGTATTGGCTGAGGTGGTGGAGAAACGAAAGGAACCCTCCCCAAACTGCTTTGGCGGGGGTGGGGGTGGTCAAGTGGGTGGCTGTGGCTGGAGGGCAGTCTGGCAGGGCCTCTATCTGGTACATACAGAGTTCCAGTCTGCACCCCCCATCCAAGAGGACTGCAAACAAGTATGCAAACACAGACGCGTACCTGGATGCTCAAGGCAGCAGTTTCCACAATGACCCAAAGGTGGCACCCACCCAGTGGCCACCAGTAGATGAATGAACAAGGCAATGAGGTGTGGACACCCGGTGGAACATTACCCCACGATCTAGCACAATGGAGTTCTGAGATGAACCTCGCGAGACTTATGCTGAATGAAAACACCCAGACACAGAAGGCCCCCTAGGCCGTGAGTCCACTGATCTGAACTGTGCAGAACAGGCAAAGCCATGGACACAGAACGCAGGTGAGTGGTGGTCCTCACAACTGGACCAGTGGGTCACATCATGATAAATGGAGAACAGATTGGCATTGTCAAGGATTTCATCTTGCTTGGATCCACAATCAAAGCTCTTTAGGATATTGAAAAGAAAGCATGTTGCTTTGAAGCCTGAGGTGCACCTGACCCATGGCATTTTCAATGGCCTCACATGCATGTGAAAGTTGGACACTGAATCAGAAATGAATATGAATTGTGGGTGCTGGAGGAGAATTTTGAAAGGATCATGGACTGCTAAAAGCACAAACCAATCTGCTTTGATTGAAGTATAGAGAGAGTGCTTCTTTGATGCAAGACTTTGTCTTACATGATGGGGCCACATTATCAAGAAAGACCAGTCCCATCCATGTCACCATGGTTGACTCTATTTTGAGAAAGCAGCTCCTCCTTAGTCACATTTCAAGTCCTTTCCGGCCCAAAGGGCCCGTCCTCAGGCACTGCCTCGGACAATGTTCTACTTCCATCCATTAGGCCTTCAGCATCCAATACTGTTTCCATGCTCTGTGTAAGGTTTGCAGCGGCTAAGTCCTTCTTCACAGTCTGTTCTGAGTCCGGAAGCTCTGGTGAAACCTGCTCACCTTGGGTGAGCCTGCTGGCATTAGAAATATCAGTGACATAGCTCCCAATATCACAGCAACACTCAAGCCACACAGTACCACAAAATGACAGGCAAGTGGTCATGAGGGAAATAATATACACATCATGGGGGTTCCAGAAGTGGATGAAGGACAGAAAGAACATTTGACCAACTAATGGCAGAAAATTTGCCCAATCTAACGAAGGACATGAATTTACAAAATCCCAAAGCAGGGTGGGCCCCAAAAGAGCTACACCAAGACACAGCATAGTGAGGTAATAAAAATCAAAGCTAAAAAGAAACTTCTGAAAGCTTTGTGCGTGTGTGTGTGTGAGAGAGAAAGAGAGAGAGACAGTCGCATAGAAAAGATACCCCAATAGGGGTAAAGGCTAATTTTCCTCAAAAAAAAAAAACTGGAGGCCACAAGGCAATGAAATAGTAGATTCAGAAAAAAATAAAGAAAAGAAATAGATTCAAAGTGCTGAAATAAAAAAATAAAAAAATAAGTAAAACAACAAAGGTACAATAAAGCAACTTCAGCGCACATGGACCTAGTGTCCAGGATGGAACACATTTTAGGTCATGAAGCAAGTGTAATAAATGTAAAAAGACTAAAATAAAAAAAAAATTAAAATAAAAAGACTAAAATAGTATTTTCATTGACCACGATGGAGTGAAGGTAGAAATTCATAACAGAAACATGCCACCCCGCAACTCCTTGAAAATATACAAACATGGAAATTAAACAAAACACTATTAAAGACCAATGGATAGAGGAAGCAATCAAAACAGAAATCACAAATCCTTCTGAGTCCAAAGAAAACGAAAGCAAACGCAACAAAACATGGGATGCAGTGAAGACAGTACTCAGAGCAACAAAGGCCTACATTTCAAAAGAAGGAAAAAGAAGAGAGGTCTTAAGTTAACAGTCAAGCTCAACAAATCCAGGAACTAGAAAGAAAAGAATGAATTCTCTCAGAAGAAAGCAAAGAGAAGAACAAAAAGAAATAAAGATGGAAAAACAATAGAGAGCATCAATAAATCCACCAGTTGAATCTGGTCACATTGACAAAGCTTTAGGTAGACAGATAAAGAAAATATACAAATTGTAAAAAAAAAAAATAGGGATATTACAACTGACCCCAAAGAAATGACAAGACACTCTACTACCAATCACCACCACTAGTCTGTCAGTTTGTCGCACTGTGGTGGCTTGTGTGTTGCTGTGGTACTGGAAGCTGTCACTGATATTTCAAATGCCAGCTGGGTCACCCAAAGTGAGCAGGTTTCAGCAGAGCTTCCAGACGAAGAACAGACAAGGAAAAAGGACTGAGCTCCCCACTTTGGAAGAAGGAGCCACTGAAAACCTTTTGCATAGCTTTGAAGTACTGTCAGATACTGAAGGTCTAATGAATGGAAGCAAAACATTGCCAAACACAGTGCTGGAGGCGGAGGCGGATGGGCCCCTCGGGTCAGAGGGCTCTGAAGATGTGACTGAGGAGGAGCTGCTGTCTCAGTGGGAAGTCGACCAGGGTGAGGTGAATGGAGTCAAGCCTGTGGGAGTAGAGCCTTCAGGATCTTCATTTACTGATGGGGCACAACTCACGGTAAGGAGAAACGCCTGCAAAAATATACTAATAATCGGAACTTGGAATGTATGAAGTATGATTCTAGGAAAATTGGAAGTCATCACAAATGAAATAGAACTCATTAACATCAATATCTTAAGCGTTACAGGGCTGAAATGGACTGGTATTAGCTATTTTGAATAAGAGAACTGGTTTACTATTCTAGTAATGACAATCAAGAGGAACAACATTGCATTCAGAGTCAAAAAGGACATTTCAAGATCTATTTTGAAGTACAATGCTATCTGTGATAGGATTATATCTATCCACCTTCAAGGAAATCCAATCAATAAAACTATTATTCAAATGTATGCACCAACCACTAAAGCTAATGATTGAAGAAACTGAAGAATTCTACAAATGTTTTGGAACGTTGGTCGACTGGAAGAGATCCATATTTGTACCCATTCCAAAGAAAGGTGACCCAACATTCTATTCAAGTTATAGAACAATAGAATCGATATCCAACAAATAAAATTTTGCTGAATATCATCAAACAACAGTTGCAAGAGCATATTGCCAGAGGTTGAGGCCAAGTTCAGAGGAGGATACGTAACAAGGGATATCATTGCTGATATCAAATGGATCCTGGCTAAAACCAGAGAACACTAGAAAGATATTAACTTGTATTTTTATTGACTATGCCAAGGCATTCAACTGTGTGG